GTGACATGTTGAACCTACATGTAATGTGTTCTTTGTTTGGACTGGGCTGAAATGGAGAAAAGACTTCTCCTATATTTAACATGACAAGGATCGGTCTTTGAGTGGGCTTTTTGGGGGGCTCGGGGAGTGGGGCTGGGAGGAGTTGTTTAACACAATACAGGTAGAGTAGGCGGGAAAAATCTGTGTGGTAGCATGGCTTTTTCGGCGGTGTTATTACTGCTAATTCTATCAAGTGATTTCCGCTATGACCCACAAAATAGCTTTGAACACAGAGACTCGTTGATGTGGGGGGCGGGGGGGTGTGGTGGTGCATGCATCTATTGGGGCGGGGGTGGAGACGAAAGAAACTGCAGATGTGTGAGATTTGAGGTGATACGTATTGACGCCGTTAAAAGAACTACGAGGCAGGACTGCAATAAGAAGGTTGAAGCAATGTGATAAATATACACATATATATACACACACACACACACTGGGTTGAGGTGAACCTGAAGAAGGACAATACATAAAATAGTGGACTTTTCATCTGTGTATATTTCTTTTAGTTTTAGCTTACCACAAGAACATGGCTTCATTATAACCATCTGGAAAAAACCGGTACAGTTGGCCGAAAAGGTCGTCCCTAATTATAAAGTGAAATGTGACGCATGGGGCATAAAGCCCCACCCTACGCCCCTGATACAGTGGTTCACAACACAACGTTCGAGTCACAGTACTCTTGCTGCAGCCTAGTTTTCAAGTGCCCCATATTGTAAAATTTTCAACGAGTGCACTGTGAAATATCGAATTTTGTATAAATCATTTTTTTTCATCTGCACCACTTTGAAGAAGCCACGACTCCCCGGGGGTGTCACCGTACACAGTTTGGAAACCTCTAAATCAGCGGTTCTCAACCTGTGGGTCGCGACCCCTTTGGGGGTCGCACGACCCTTTCCCAGGGGTCGCCTCAGACCATATGAAAACACATATGCTCTACATTTATGAAGAAGCAACGAAAATAATGTTGTGGCTGGGGGTCGCCACAACATGAGGAACTCTATTAATGGATCGCGACATTAAAAAGGTTGAGAACCACTGCTCTAAATAAATATATTTGAACTAAGATGGACGCAGCTTAAAGTGGTGGAATCGAAAAGCATATGACAAGCTGAGGATGTGGGGGGGGGGGGGGGGCTGTTGGGGGAAAAAGGGGTGGGGAAGGGGGGACCTGACACACAAAATAAACATTGATTAAACAAATATGAGTTGTGTCGGTGCGACAGAACCTTCGATGAAATAGTCATAAAATAGTATTGTACTGTATTTGCCATGTATTGGTGTGACCCCCCCCCCCAAACCACTAATTGTCCTATACAATCTTAGTAAACAAACTGTTTAAAAACTAATTAAAAAATTATGATTTCTTATATCTATTTTGATGCTTTATTTTAAAATCGTGTGAGACAACTGTGAAGGACTGCTCAAGATCTTGGAATTTCAATGAAAAGCTCATGGTAGAATCAACTTCTTTTTGCTCGTATGTTTGTTTAAGACACAATCATCGGACGGCTATATAGTTACTTCTCGTCATCCTATCGAGCTGAAACTTGGCATATAAACTTGTTACCGATGACAACATATTTTTTTCAAAATTTAGCTCCCCCCCCCAAAAAAAAAATAAATAAATCAATTTCAACGCTACCAAATGCCACTAATTTCACGAAAAAAAATTCCCGATAACTGCGCTAAATACGATTCTTAAAGACATCGCAAACGCGTTGGGTGCGTAATACTTCCTTTTTTTTTTACAGTAATAGTTGATGAAATTAATATCGGTTTCAAAGCGGTTGGACCATTGGAATATTAATATAGTTCCCGGGCTTGAAAAAAATGCGGTTGCGAACCGGAGGGGGGAGGGGGGGGGGGACTAATTGAGATGCTCATAAAATGCGTTACTTGAATGCATGCTTTGTCAAATTTTCAGCCACCCCCCACCCCCACCACATTCCTTGATATTAAATCTTATAAAGGATTTAAACGAAAAACTTTTTTTTTTTTTAAGGAGTTGTTCAATTAAACGCTGATCTGATTCCTGCATTAGAAAGGTGAGAAAAAATGTAGGCGTCAAGAAGAACTGGCATTTTAAAAATAAATTTCATGTCCGTAGCGTAAGAGAATGTATTTTAAAAAGGTAAGTGTGAAATCAAAATGTACATTTTGTTTTGTATGACATTTCAGTAGCCATAACTAATGGTCGTTAACCAGTGAATTCAGCAACCGTGGCAGCTCTTGGAAGGGAAACAACCCCAAATATTTGTGACACAAATTAATAAATGTGATTATAGCGCTTTGATTATCACAAAACCAAACTTGGTAAAAAAAATTCAATGCTAGGATAATTTATTTCACATGTAAACCATTGATAGTTGACACCAGGGGTCTCCACAGTACGGCCCGGAGGGCCTGATGCAGCCCGCGAGGCCCTCTCATCCGGCCCGTGGAGAATTTTCTGTCTATGGAAAAAATGACGGACATTACATGTATCCTGGCAGGATTAGCCGCCACTTACGGGGACATTGTGTTTTTACCGAATTCAAATATTGGCGCGCAGTTCACTGTCAACGAGAGGATGCGATGCCATCTAGAGGCGGATTTGTTAAATGGTTTGCTGCTTGCTAAAGACGGTTTGGTCACAGTTTGCCAGTTGCGGTTGACTGCTGCGATGCGGAGGTGTTGGTGTCAGTTAGCGTCTGATAGCGAAACATGTTGCACTCTAATTTATTTAGTGATAATATCCTTCGCGTCATTACTTATAAATATGTTAAAAAGTATTGCGAATGTCGTTAGTTTGGTAAGAAATTTTCGAATGTTCTGAAGAGGAAACAACAAGAGAAAAAATCAACAATCTCTCTACCATAAGTGGATACGTTTGCACACTATATTCCATTAAGTTTAAAATTTTAAAAAAAAATTGTTTCGGGTCATTTGCAGCTATAATATATATAAGAATGAGCTAGAGTCACATAACGCCAAAAGGGAGATATGATTTAAGTACGTTCGGATTCCTAAAAACAGTCATAGTTATTTTCTATTATTTTACGGAAATCGAATAAATTTAAATGCGCAAAAAATATTCTAAATACGCTTTTATTTTAGTAAAAGTTTAAGTATTTTTATTATAAATTACAAATACATTTAAAGTATCAACTAAGGAACTATTTTAAGCATTTTATATTTGTTTGAGAGTTATGAAAAAAAATCATGATCAAAGAATTACACCGTATTCACATTTATCGGGAAAACCCAAGCATCAGTCGTTTTTAGTGTGTCTTTTAGTGCGTTGTTAATATTTCGAATTAAAATTAATTTCTTCTAAATAATCATGCAAATGACGTCAAAACATGTACAAAAACATTTAAAAATAAACATTTCATTTAAAAAGTAATTAAAATAAATTATAACAAGAACAAAATTCATTTAAAACCAGTCCAAATTGCTTAGTTGATTATGCTTTAATTATAAATTACCTTTAACTGTAACCTGCAACACAACTTTCAAAACCCAAAAATTATAAAATACATGTATTGATAAGTCATTTACAGACAATAACCCCCAACCCCAATTCTAACTGATCGACACAGCTGTTTCTCAATTTTAAGACTTAATCCTGGTTGTGGTTCACCACCACTGGTCAATGTTACAAGAGGTGGGAGCCATTAAAATGTTAAGACCTGCTGGTTAACACCAAGGGATGACCCAGCACAAACCATTATTAACATCAAGATAAAGATCAAGTGCCAACCACTGTTACTGCTAACACCAAGGGAGGGTCCAGGGCTGACCACTGTTAACACCAGCAGACGACCAATTACCAACCACTGTTAACAGCAAGGCATGACCCAACACATACTGGTATTTCCTTTTTTCATCTTAGAAATTTTGTATTTTAAGTATGTATATACCTGGTATATATATATATAAATATATATATATATGTATATATATAGAGAGAGATATGAATATTTATAGATACCGTATATAATTTATATATCTATAGATATATAATTATATATCTATATCTCTCTGTATATAAATATATATAATAAAACAAAATAAAGCTACACAAAATGAATCCTCAACACCACCTCATATTAATACAATCTTCTTAGTTTGAATACTGTAACAAGAATCAAATGTCAAACCCTTTCTTCACCTAACGGAACAAACTAAAATGTCAATGAAAGTGTAAACAGCATCACATCATGTTTATATGTATAGCCTAGAGAAACAATACTTTTTTAAGTAGATTAAACTGTTAACCGTCGGAACCTAACAGGGTTGTCCATAAAGGACGTCAGCACAAAATATTCACCCCCCCCCCTCTCCTTGTTCGCATGTGGCTTACCCCATCTTCCCGAGTTTCCGTTGTTCGTAGAAGCATTTTGAAAATTTACAGTGCTGGAAGTATAGTCATTGTAAAGAGCAGGGTCACTACAATCAAACTTCTAAATCAGGATGATACAGGTCCATCCTTTGATTTTGTATGCACTGCCAGAGAGAGAGAGAAGGGGGGGGGGTGTTGATATCAGAGGTTATGCGTACCGGTACTGGTGCGATTAAATATTATGGAATTCTGACCGTCTCTAATGAAGCTGTCAACTAAAATTCTATGAAATCCATGATACCTGTATTTAATTATTTTTTTTTAACTCTTGAAACTTAAGACATCTAAATCATTTGCAATGTTTTGAATTTATCATGACACTGTTTCTCATTGTTACGTTATTTCAGATGTGATCATTTGGACGGGCGTAAAAAAAAAGTGTGAAGATAAATCTTACTGATATACCTAACTGATCACCTAAATGTTTGTACTCCACTCTCCCTTTCCCCCCAAAAATATTAGTGGGAAAAAAAAAAAAAAGTCTTTTTGCTAACTTAAAATTTCATGCTTAATTAAAAAAAAAAAAAAAAAGCATTATGATGTGTTGGCCTAGTTAAGGCTATCTCTGCACATTAGGCATTAGGTATATTGGTGTCCTAATGACTAATGTGGCTTGGTATGAGTCACTGCAGTCTTGCTAACGTGGCTTGGTATGAGTCACTGCAGTCGAAGCACTGGACTTGTTTTTAAAAACAACATAAAAAGCCCAGTAAAACCTCGCTTTTGTTAGAGGACATTGCCTGAATTTACAAATGGTCATAGAGTATGAATAACTATATTACAGTTGGATTCATTGAATTTAGCTGACCAAAGTAGAAAAGAAATTCAGAAAAGCTGAATATTGTGTGCAATAAATTATTGTCCAATAATGTTCATATAGATTCCTGTTTTTTCATCCTCTAATATAGGAATTTTAATTCTGACAAGAAGTAGATTTTGACTGCAATCAAACAGTATTAGAATGGCTGAGGTGAGATTCGTTTCCAGCTTAATCTACCAGGTCATAATTGTACAGAACTATATCATGTGTTTTTATTGTAGAGATCCATTTAGTTAAAAAAAATAATGATTATCGTAAGTTAAAAAAGAGTGTTAAGCTATTTTATAAGCATCTTTTATATATACACATAACACCAACGCGGCTCTTTTTATTTTGTCTTTCTATTTTTTTCCTTTTAATGAATGATTTTAAAAAATGTTTTTTTAAAGAAACAACAAATGCATTGCCTTTAAATTTGAGAAAACATTTGCCGATTAAGTTTAATAAAAAACTTTAAAGAATAAATAAAAAGACGTTATATAAATGTAGTTATTCCTGCTGTGAGGGATGTGAGAAATTATTGTTTTTGAAATGCTGCAGAAATCATTAGGCGTCTGTATGAAGGTAGACATAAATGTCTGTTCTAATAGGGAAACAAGTTGTGGGGTGGTCGCTTCACTGGAGCTGTGGATCCAGTGATGGAGAAATTTAATGCATCCATTCATTTTGACAAGCGGATGTGGAAAGCAGATATTGAGGTAGGCTTTGTTTAAAAAAAATTTTTTTTCGTCTTCACCTGGCTCCTATTTTGTGGGTGTTTTTTCATATTGTTGACAGCCAATTTTCCAATCTGGCAGCTGTCTTTCTCCTTTAACTAAAGACTTTTGCCGAAGGGGTTTACTTCCAAGCCCAAGAATAATAAACTACTGGACTGACTAACTCTAACCTTAGCCCTAACCCTAAGCTTGGGATGACTAAGCTAAGGCAGACTATTCTGTCATTGAATCACTGACTGCCACACATTTAGTTACTGTTTAAACTATTGATATCATTAGCTTGCTCGCCTGCATATATTCTTTTAGGACTGATATACTTTTTTTTAAAAGTCAAAAAAGCACAAAACGACAAACCGTTATGTTCAAATATAAGGGTGCAAGAATATAGAGAGAATAAGTTTGCTGCAATGTGTGTTTTAAGTAGGTCAAGCTCAGAAGAACTTGTTTAATTCTTGTGATGTTTGCTGTAGGGGAGCAAAGCTGATATCTTGGCACTGGAAAAGGCCAAGCTTGTCACAGCTGATGAGAGGAATGACGTCTATGAGGGTCTAGAAAAGGTGAGTGAACTAATGAAGGCTTTAAAAATAAAATATATAAACTCTTGTGATATCAGGGAGGTTACATGTAACCACATCCATTTGGTCTTGTTAGCTATTTCATCCATAGTTTGAAACATAAAGATAGACTCCAAGCCATGGTTTGAAACACAGGGATAATCTCTCAGCCGTAATTTGAAACACATGAACAAACTCCCACATTCCAGCCATAGTTTGAAACACCAGGATAAGCTCCCAAATCCAATGCGAACGTTTGAAACAAAAGTACAAAGTTCCACATCCCAGCAACAGTTTGAAACACAAGAACAAACTCCAACATCCCAACCATATTTTGAAACACAAGGATAATATCGCACATCTTTGCCACAGTTTGAAACACAAGAACAAACAGCCACATCCCAGCCATAGTTTGAAACACAAGGATAATATCGCACATCTTTGCCACAGTTTGAAACACAAGAACAAACAGCCACATCCCAGCCATAGTTTGAAACACCAGCTTAATCTCCCACATCACCTTACAACTCCAGTTACAAGGACAAACTCATTGTTATGAACAACTGATCATTGTTATTCCTTTTCTACCTTTGTATACAATTCAGATCAGCCTCAGCCAAGTCCATTCTTGTTTCACTATTTTCCAAAGAATAAAAGTCTCTATATTTAACCATATATATATATATCTATTGTATCCTGGAGTGTTATGAATTTAACTTGGAATTTTAATTGAAACCCAATAGGTCTATTTTTTGTCTAAATTATTTTTGTTACCAGCTCTCAACGCTGAAGGAAGACTTGCAATTAATGGTATTAGCCTCACTTCCTCTTGATTAGTAGATGATAGGAATTTTATAACTGAAAAAATATTTATCTGTGGTAATAATATAGTGATTGAATATTGGTGTAAACCTTTACTCCAGTGGTCATCAAACCCATTGCACCAGAGCTACACGTGGCTATTTGAAGAAATATTTTCACTTTTTTTTATTTTTCCTCCACCCTTTTTATTTTTTAATTTATTTTTATTTTACGAATCTACAATGACAGGTGCCTACCAACAAATTTTTAAAACTAATTTAGTTTGTAAAAATGGCTCCTCACTCAAAAAAAAAATGTTGCAGACCACTGCTAGATGAAGATAAAAGTCATTTATCATCAACAATTTAATCTGAATAAAAATTTGTTGAAAATTTTATTTTGGAAAGCATTTTTTTTGTCATGTTGACAATTATACATTTTTGATTAAAGGTTGTTTTTTTTTTCACTTTAAATTGACTATGACAAATATCAAAGAACTAGATCTAACTGAGCTTAATTTTCTTGCCTTAAAATTGACAGGAACCATTTGAAAAAAAAAAGCAAGAATCTCATGTTTTCATCTTACATGCAGACACTAATTTTTAACAGGTGAAACATGAATGGGAAGCTGGCACTTTTGAAATCAGACCAGGAGACGAAGATGTGCATACAGCCAATGAAAGGAGGCTGAAAGTAGGTAACCAATGATTAGGTTTCGTGTCATGTCAGCTCAATGTTGGATGCGTAAGCAGGAGAAGGGAAGTGTGTGTGTGTGGGGGGGGGGGTGTACAAGGTCAAGGGGTCGAAGTACAGGGCCATTAAATTTTCTCAATGAGGCTGTATGAGGCAAATTTTTAATAAAATCTAATGTATATGTTTATTTAAACATAAATGTATGTTTTTGAACATCTCTGCAGGAACTGATTGGTCCAGTTGGGGGAAAACTGCACACTGGCCGAAGCCGCAATGACCAGGTAGCAACGGACATGAGGCTGTGGTTCAAGGACAGCACCAAAGTACTGACCAAACACATTACAGACCTGGTAAAAGTCATGACAGAGCGGGCTAAAGCGTAAGTAGAAATATGAAGTAGCTGTACGTGAAAGTGGGAAGAAATATCGCCAACTGTTTCTCGAACTCTTGCTTTGCAACAATAAATGAAGGCCATGCTGGCCAACCCCCCCCCCCCCACCTTTAAAAAAAAAATTTCCTCTTTAATTTCCATCAGGGTGCACTTCAACTGGGTCATAGGTTGGGGGGTATCTGCTCCGAAGTATATGTGATCAAAACTGTCTTCCTGTTGATTTCTGGATGATCAATAGGTCAGATGAAGTGATGAACACCGACAATAGGTAGCAGTAATTATTTAACAACGTTTCTGTTCTACTCCAATCTTTGCTGTCAACGCTTTTTATATAGCTAAATTATTGCTTTTTAAAAATTAAAAAAAAATTCATGCTACTTTGGTATGTTTGAACTTCGCAGGGAAGTGGACCAACTTATGCCCGGCTACACGCACCTCCAGAGGGCACAACCCATCAGATGGAGCCATTGGATTCTGAGGTTTGTATACTCTTGGGAATATTTTTGGCCTGATGCAATCATGTTATGCAAATGTTATACAGTCATGTTATGTAATTGTTATACAATATTATTATGTAATTGACAGATCTGATACATTCTTGTTATGTAATTGTTAGATCTGATACAACCTTGTTATGTAATTGTTAGATCTGATACAACCTTGTTATGTAATTGTTAGATCTGATACAACCTTGTTATGTAATTGTTAGATCTGATACAACCTTGTTATGTAATTGTTAGAATGTTTAGAATACATTTTAACGAAAAATGGAAGTTCATTTTGTAAAATTTAATTTGCGGGCAATTTTAATGGGGAAACATTCAGATGACTTATCTCAATAACTAATTTAGTAATGCTTTTAAAATAAAACTTATCTGGTCTGTTAATTTGTATGATTATTAAATTTTAAAAAATTTATCTACTTCTTGATTATGCTGTACTGTGTCAATCAGTCAATCCCAGTTCTTCCTCTTCTATATTTTGAGGGCCCACGTTCAATGTATTGATCATTCTGGCTCCAGTTGCATGTCATTGTTCTGGTCTGTGTCATTGGTCTATCTTCAAATACATTGTGTTTTTTTTTATTCATGTACCTCTAACATATCAGTTTAAACAGTCATCAACAGGTCTTTTATTCCAAGCCTAACATTTGAATGTATCATTTGCTTATCAATCAGTTATGCAGCAATGTTACAAAGAGATGTGGAGAGATTGCTTCAGATTTGTCACAGAGCATCCACTTTAGTCTTGGGGAGGTAAGCATGTCATAAGACTAGTTGTTTAAAAAAAATTAATTTCAGTCTCATCACCCGCAGCCCCCACGTGCAAAATCAAAGTATCATAATTCGTTTTTATTGACCACATTTTTACACCTTTCTACAGCTAGAGACTTATCAAATATTTAAAAAAAAATGAAATCCTTTGTTTTTTTTTTTTTTTTTTTTTTTTTTTTTTTTTTTTTTTTTTTTTTTTTTTCTATTCTAAAAATTTTTTTTTTTTTTTTTATATGTAATTGTTAGATCTGATACAACCTTGTTATGTAATTGTTAGATCTGATACAACCTTGTTATGTAATTGTTAGATCTGATACAACCTTGTTATGTAATTGTTAGATCTGATACAACCTTGTTATGTAATTGTTAGATCTGATACATTCTTGTTATGTAATTGTTAGATCTGATACAACCCTGTTATGTAATTGTTAGATCTGATACAACCTTGTTATGTAATTGTTAGATCTGATACATTCTTGTTATGTAATTGTTAGATCTGATACAACCCTGTTATGTAATTGTTAGATCTGATACAACCCTGTTATGTAATTGTTAGATCTGATACAACCTTGTTATGTAATTGTTAGATCTGATACAACCTTGTTATGTAATTGTTAGATCTGATACAACCTTGTTATGTAATTGTTAGATCTGATACAACCTTGTTATGTAATTGTTAGATCTGATACAACCTTGTTATGTAATTGTTAGATCTGATACAACCTTGTTATGTAATTGTTAGATCTGATACAACCTTGTTATGTAATTGTTAGATCTGATACAACCTTGTTATGTAATTGTTAGATCTGATACAACCTTGTTATGTAATTGTTAGATCTGATACAACCTTGTTATGTAATTGTTAGATCTGATACAACCTTGGTATGTAATTGTTAGATCTGATACAACCTTGTTATGTAATTGTTAGATCTGATACAACCTTGTTATGTAATTGTTAGATCTGATACAACCTTGTTATGTAATTGTTAGATCTGATACAACCTTGTTATGTAATTGTTAGATCTGATACAACCTTGTTATGTAATTGTTAGATCTGATACAACCTTGTTATGTAATTGTTAGATCTGATACAACCTTGTTATGTAATTGTTAGAATGTTTAGAATACATTTTAAAGAAAAATGGAAGTTCATTTTGTAAAATTTAATTTGCGGGCAATTTTAATGGGGAAACATTCAGATGACTTATCTCAATAACTAATTTAATAATGCTTTTAAAATAAAACTTATCTGGTCTGTTAATTTATATGATTATTAAATTTTTAAAAATGTATCTATATCTTTATTATGCTGTACTGTGTCAATCAGTCAATCACAGTTCTTCCTCTTCTATATTTTGAGGGCCCACGATCAATGTATTGATCATTCTGGCTCCAGTTGCATGTCATTATTCTGGTCTGTATCATTGGTCTATCTTCAAATACATTGTATTTTTTTTATTCATGTACCTTTAACATATCAGTTTAAACAGTCATCAACAGTTTAAACAGGTCTTTTATTCCAAGCCTAACATTTGAATGTATCATTTGCTTATCAATAAGTTATGCATCAATGTTACAAAGAGATGTGGAGAGATTGCTTCAGATTTGTCACAGAGCATCCACTTTAGTCTTGGGGAGGTGAGCATGTCATAAGACTAGTTGTTAAAAAAAATAATTTCAATCTCATCACCCACAGCCCCCACGTGCAAAATCAAAGTATCATGATTCGTTTTTATTGACCACATTTTTACACCTTTCTACAGCTAGAGACTTATCAAATATTTTAAAAAAATGAAATCTTTTTTTTTTTTTCTTCATGGTTTGTTTTATGATTTACCATACCAAAAATTGATTTATGTTTTCTAGTGGTGCTCTGGCTGAAAATCCAATTGATATTGACAAGGAATTCCTCAGAGAAGGTATATTTATTTTGCTAGTTTTATCAAATAAAATATCTTGTGTACTATGTAAGGATGGTCATGTTTTGAAATGATAAATGTTTATATCACTTACTCCCATTGTTGGCTTTCTTTTTGATAACCATTTAAAGCGCATGAACAGTCTGGATGCAGTCAGTGACAGGGATTTCATTGGTAAATTGTTTTCTACAAAATTTTATTTAATTCAGCAATAGAGCATAAAAACTATTTATAACTACTACAGAAGATATTTTTAGTTCATTTAGAAGATTTAGTATTTTTTAAAAAAAATGAAATAAGAAGACTTAGATATCATTGAACATATGGAGCTGGCGAGAGAGCACTGAAGTTTTTCTGAAAAAAGTTTGGCTGTCTTTAAACTCTTGTTTCAAAACATTGACCCTGCTTAAGGACATTTAAATTAAATACAGTATGATTTAGGTACCATTTCCCATTTTTTTTTTAATGTAAAGAACTGCACTCCTGACACAGTTATTATTTTGAATGTGAGACCCACTGATGGGAGATGGTTAAACACAGTGAAAACTCTGTATCCCATGTGCTTTGTGACATGGAGTGTTTTGAATGAGACAAATAAGTCTGGCCAATCAGTGTTTTTGATTTGGTCATGTGAGTGAGTGAGAGATTGACTTTGGGGTAGTCGTGATGAAAAATTTGAAGTGAGAGGAGATGAGATTTTGTGATGATGCTGGACTTTAATGATTTATTTTTAGATGTGATGGTTTTTGAGTCAGTGAATTGAGAATGAAATATATACAAGGAATTAAAAGTGTGCATTTTCTCCTGACTCATATTTATATATTTATTCTCTTGGGTTGTTGTAATCATCCGAACAATAAAGTAAAGTCACTAAATGAAACAGCAACATCTTGTGCATTATTTATAACAGTGACAGCTGCCTTGAAATGAGTCATCCCCACCCCTCTTCCTTTCCCACACTATTCTCTTCCTTAGCTGAGTTTTTGTTCTGGGGCTCTCTGCTGGGAGTACACCTTAGCCGTTGGGCTGGGGATCTCATTCTGTATTCAACCAAAGAGTTCAACTTTGTTACTCTCTCAGATGCATACAGGTTGGTTATATTTTTTTTAGTGAAATAGAACACAAATTAAAAAAAAGAAAGCAACAACACAGCCAAACATCAAGTTTCTTTTTTTTAAAATCAGGCTTTTGTGTATAAAAAATAAAATTCTCTCTATGCTCACTACTGTCAATGCATCTAATGTGCCATAAATGTTTGGTTGAATAATTTGACCAGAAAGTTTTATTTGATACTTTGATAATTCTTTTTTTTTTGTGGTAGTAATTAGCCTGTAAAGTTTCTGTCCTTGGTGTGTGATGCTTGCACAATACAGCAAAATTTTCTTTTGGTTTAATTCTGTATTATCAAGTGTTAACTCAACCATCTTATCTCTATTATTCCAGCACTGGTAGCAGCTTGATGCCACAGAAAAAGAACAGTGACAGTTTGGAGCTTATTAGAGGAAGGGCAGGCAGACTCTATGGAAATGTGAGTCATAGTGTTTTATTGGAGTGCAGTGGTTCTTAAACTTTAATAATTTGAGGATAGCAGGACAGCATTTCATGACATATTGTTTAGTGACCAACATTAACTATAAAGGGAGTTAATGGGGATTTTTTAAAGCGTAAAATAGGTAGATCTTTTCCCCCCCACCCTTAAAGAAAGTTCAATGTCGGAACTGGGTCTTCAGACCCAATTTTAAGAACCTCTGTGACATAATCACTGTTGTCTAATTTTTATGGAATATTTAGGTTAAAGCCCTGACAATTTATATCATGTTATGTCCAAGTACTTCAAAATTACACATTGGTGAAACCTGGCTGGCTATAAAAAAATTTTGTTTGTCAGGTTTAACTTAAATTTCATAATGTTCTTAAACCCAATTAACTTCAAAACAATTGATCCACAATTGATATTTACTAAATAATGATGTCGCCACTTCCTTTATCAGCACTGTGTAATGTGTGCAAGGGGGAGTATATAAAATACTTCTAACTGTGAAATGTAATTGAGAAAAAATATCCTTCAAGTATCCAGCAGTTTTTATGGTTGCTGTAGAATATCCATTTATTATGTACTTTGTACTACAGTGCACATCCTTCATGATGACTCTTAAAGAAATACCAAGCACATACAATAAAGTAAGTATACCACTCCAAAAAGTTGGCAAAAATTCACATCTTCTTCCCCCCCCCCCCCCGCCCCCCCCCTCTCCCCCCCATGCTATAAAAAATTTTGAGACTATTGTGTTGTTGGTTTAAAACAGTTTTTTAAACAATAACAATAATTTCGGCAGTTGGATTTATTTATCCAAGTAGTTATTCGTTTACAAGGGCAATATAAATTATCTCTCGTGTTCTGGCAGATATAGAATCTTTTATTTGACGTCTGCAAGTTCAAGATAATTTGATTATTTCAGCAAAGGAAAAAAAATAAATGAAGATTGTTCTTAATTAGTTTTGTTAGTGTTCAAATTTACAATTACACTTGTTATCTTGAAAGTTAATCTGTTCCTCAGAAATGTATTGTTTTTATTTAAACTTGTCAAAAAACTGATTCAAAACCAAATGATCTCCCATGTCCAGCAAGACAACGAAGCGATGTTTGACACTTACGATACAATTTGTGCAGTATTACAAATAGCCACAGGTGTCCTGTCAAGCCTCAAGGTAGCAATAACATTTAGAGTAGTGATAAAAAAATTTTTTAAAGATCATTTTCCAAAGTGCTTTGCATGCTTTCATTTTCAATAATTTAAAAGAAAAATATTCTTTGAGTTGGAAGAAATGTAAAATGTTTATTTTAATGTCTTTAGGTTTTAATAAAGAATTTACATTATTTTTTTTGTATTAAGTTTTACAAAAAGGGCTATGTTTATGTATTATTACTTGATTTCACTTGTTTTAGATCCATCCTGATAAGATGGAGGGTGCTCTCAGTTCTGACATGCTAGCCACAGATATTGCATATTATCTAGTCAGAAAAGGGGTATGTTAACTCTGTTTGTCCCTCTGATATGATACTCTGTTTCTTCCTGAAAGTTGTTAGCTTTATTGTTCACCTGACATACCATAAGTGAACTTTTATAGCTGGCATGTGACAGTGATCATTTATTGGTAGTAAATGTGACATATATATAATTTATATATATATATATATATATATATATGTTATATATGCAGCTAGTGAAGGTGAAGGCATCTTTAGTTGTTAAAAAAATTAAAACTAATAAATCAGTAATGGCGACCCACACCCATTGGTGTCATGTATCTTATTAGCCAGCCAATGGCTGTTTCCCAGATATATTTAAATGTTCTCAGAAATGGGATATCTCACATGCAGACCTTTTATTTGTCAACTTGTAATACTTGTAACATATCAAATCTCATATCCTCCATATTGGGCATGCCTTTCAATCTGTTACATATCTTAGCCTCCAAGATACTCCTTTAAATTCTGACTTATCTTAGCCTCCAAGATACTTCTTATTTGTTACATATCTTATCCTCCAAGATGCCCCTTATTTGTTACTTATCTTAGCCTCCAAGACACTTCTAATTTGTTACTTATCTTAGCCTCCAATATACTCTTTATTTGTTACTTGGCCTCAATGAAAATCATGTAGGCCTATTAAGTCTTCTGACATATATTTTTTCTTCTACAAAACAGAGTAATCTCCATCAAATTTTGTATATATTGATTGTTGATTGCACTTATTTTCCTATTCCAGTTGCCTTTTGGTGAGGCCTATGGCATGGCTGGTCTCTGCACAGCCCTGGCCGAGAAGCAGGGCATTTCAGTGTCTCAACTGTCTCTTAAAGATTTCCACTCAATCAGGTGATCATAACGTCCCACCATGTTTTAGTTTAATGCAGTGCCACGATTGTAGAAAATAAATCATCACTTCTGGCTAGCCTTTATCTTTTACAATATTTTTTTTTGAGAAGTTGTTTAGTGGTGTTGAGGGCAGTCATTACAGAAGCTGCCAAGCTGTCATATGTATATATATATATATACATATATATATATAAGTTAAAAGGCTTAACTCATTTCGCCCTAACTGAATTATGACCATTTAAAAAATTGGTTATAAGAAAATTATGTTTAACTAGTTGATAGATGGAAGCTATTTTTTTAAACACAGCCTAAATATGACTTATTGTTAGAAGTATTCATTCGGCCCGGCTCATCATAGTATGAAGACTTTTGAGTTTTGATTTAAAAAAGGCCTGTCTACAAATATTTAATTTGATTAGGCAAAAGATTATCCTATCAGCTTTTGGACTTTTTAAAATAGTTACTGGCACCAAATAAATGGATGACTGGTGGTGTGAGCATTAGTTGGAAATGAGTTTTTGGAAAAATCTTCGGAAGGACCCATTTTCAGTCATCCTTTCGAGCTGAAATTCGGCACATAGACTCGTTGCTGATGACAACAAATTCTTTCAAATTTTCAGTCCAGCCCCACCTCCAAAAATCAGTTTTTCCCTGTTTTTAAAGGGGAAGATGACTGAAACAGGATTTGTTCAATTGTTGTGTGTTTTTGTGATTAATTGTTTAGCTGTTGGTATGTGCTCTGTATTTGCGACATATTTGGGTACGCAGTAAAAATAAAATGTATTTTTGAAAGGGAAAATGAAGGAAATTTGAAACTGTTTTTGTATGAAGTTTACTCATTTACATCTCCGCTTTTTAATAAATGATAAATCACATACAATTACAAAACTGCAAATAAAGGATATACACGAATAACTTTGTATTTTTGGGGTTGTTTTATTTGTATTGTGCTTTGTAAGCATTCATTTGTTTAAAAATGGTGCATTTATAACTCGGAATCTTAAGTCTTGTTTATTCTAATATCTGTTGTACCACTGTCAAATTTACTGTAATCCCTTTTGTTTTTACCACACAGTCCACTCTTTGACGATGATGTAAACAAAGTTTGGGACTATGCTAACTCTGTTGAGCAGTACAAGGCAACGGGCGGGACATCAAAGTCCAGCGTCGAGGGTCAAATTGCACACCTGGAGTCATGGCTTGCAGAGGTCGCCAAGTCTCAAGAGAAATGAGTACACTCTATTTGTATGGGTGAAATTCAACCTTAACAGACATGTCTGTGTAGGGTCTCTGCATGATCTGCCCCTTTGTTATTGAAACCTTAAGAAAACGTTAGGCACATGTAAGTCGTGTCACCAAAGCCTTGCTTTTGTATCTCCTCAATTCCTTTTTTTCCTTCTTTGTTTGTTGCTGTAACACACATGCTCTGACATCATTATCATTGTAACTTATTTCTTAGGCTGTGGGTTATGTCAGTAGCATGGTTACTTGTTTTAAGTTAGTAATTCAGAATGCCGGCTAAGACTTCATCGTTCTTCCTCTTGTTATCCAGGCACGCAAATAAGAATACTGAATCCTGGTTAAACTTACAGTACTTTATTAAATCACAATTTACACAGATAATATTAATAATAATCCTACGTACTTACATTAGTAAACACATATATATATATAATATTCCATCACTCAGAAAGACACGTCCTCACACTGCTATAACTCAGCTCAACTGTACTACATCTCAACTCTAACTCAACTCCGACTAACTCTGACTCTCCTGCGCTCAGCTCTCCTTATCTCACTCATACTTTATTACCAGCAAAGCGTGGAAAACAACCGCTCTGACAAAAACATAATTTTACTCTCCAAAAACGTGGAGCTCACATTGTCCTCTCAAAATACAATTCATTGTCCTCGTGGACAAACCTGGTCAACACTATTCACTGTTCACTCATGCTACCTCTCTGTTTTCATGTGAAAACATAGTCCGTTACAGTTACAGAGGAAAAAAAATCACCTCCTGGCTTTAGTAAACAGTACTGAATTTTTGTTGTTGTTAGTTTATCTTCACTATTGTATCTTTTTACTTAATAAAAAAAAAAAAAGTATTGTTTGAATTATAAGCATTCCAATTTGCATTTATATAATTACATTTTTGATTCCTTATCTTATAATTTAAACACTTTTCTCTTCATTTGATTTGAATCAATGTATTGGGCATGTTCCATTGCAGTCACTACCTCACCATCTGATCCTCACCAAAGAGTGTTCTAAATTTTCCTGCTGTGGCAAAATGTAATGTAATGGTAACTCATCTATAGATAATACTTTAAGAAAATTGAATTTCAGTTTTGCTGCCATTTAGGCCTTTCTAAAGATTGACAATTGCAAAATAAAACTAAGAAAAATAAGTTAAATATATTTTTATTGCAATATATGAAAAACATTACAGTTAAGAGGTTAACTTTAAAAACAAATAATAACGTTTTAACATTATCCCCCTCCCCCCTTTTGCCACTTTTACAACTGCCAACGTCTTACCCTCCATTTGCCAACTATGGAAGGACTTATAATAGTCTCTCTACAAACTGCCTCCCTGTGAGGGTGGTGGGGGCAAAGCCACAAGCTAGTCAATAATGGAATACATTAACTTGACTTCATTTAAAAAAAAATGGGGGGGGGGGGGGAGTTGTGGGTGTCCAAATAAAAAAAGACAGATGCATCGTAAAATATACGACACCCCTCCCCCTTTTTTTTTTGTGTATACTTAGTACACATATGGTCTCCAAGCTAAAGTATTAGCTTATCATCAACAAGAGAAGAAACTGCATTGTTCACATTTGTTGCAACCAAATATTTAGAGTTATCACCTTTATGAAATGTTTACTATATTTTCATGGTTTATGATTATAATTTTTTCAAAATTTTGCGAATAGCTCAGCCATGGAGGAATACACACCTCTGTCTCTGCAAACATCCTTTATGGATGAGCCCTGTCATACAATTTTTAAAAAAAAAATAACTCAATCAATAAGCATCTATAGCAATGTCATTCTTTTTCTGAAACAGCCAGGTTTAAAGGAAACAACAAATGTTAGGATTTGCCACTAAATTCTCATGGACTTAAAAATCAGAATTGATAATATAGGCTGACAAACACTTTCACATTCCAATAGATTTCTTTTAACTTTTAGTACCGGTATGTGATTAGTTTGTGGAGTACGGTATTAAATTAGATTTGGTAAATAAGCTAAATATGTGGGGAGGGGGCATTGTTTTCTAAGCAGGTATCCCTATAGGTAGAGATATAATGTATATGTATAGGTATCAATATATATCATCTAGCCACACACAATTCAAAGAACTAATTTAGTTATAAGAGTGGGCCCACTTTTCAATTTTTTTTAGGAAAGATTATGTAAATATATATTATGTAATTTTAATTTATACTTGTTTTGTTTTTTGTACTGATAAAGGCATTTGCCCAAAAGTTTACTTTTGTACCGGGTATAAACAGGTAGAGTCTGAGTGCGACTGGGCCGCATCAAGTATTCCACAAAAAAGTGATTACTAACTCAATAAAGCACAACTGTTAAAATGTGCTCAACCTTTGTTAATAATAAATAAAATCATTGGTTCTCAAGAACTAGGCTTCACTTTCTTCCTCCTACTCCTTGTTGCCAGAGATCGGGCAGTGCTTCTTCTTAAACAGCTGAGCAACATTTGGCTTGATTGAAGAATCAACTGAGATCCTCAGTATAGCTTGAAGATGCTCATCAGTGAATTTGTCCCTGAACTTTGACTTGTTAAAGTTCATAGTGGAAAAGAGCTTTTCCCACAGATAGGAACTCCCAAAAAAGGTACATGATCCGCTTGAACAACCTGGAAATCTCAGAGAAGGTGGAGGACAATGCTCTCATCAATTGTCCATGCTTGTCTATTTTTGTAATGTTTAAATTTATTTTCAACAATCTGTATTTGCCTGATTGTTTGTTGTTTAGTTAGGCTATACAATTATCTGTACAAGATAAATAATGGGCTAGTCCACTGTTCCAGTATTAAACTGAAACTTGTCCCTCACCCCCATAGATAGCGATGAGGCCATGACAGGCAATTCCGGCTCATACCAGCGTAGAGCCAGTATAGGATCTGCTCATTCCTGCCCAAGACAATCAGGGACTGGAACAAGCTTTTAAAAGGAACAGTTGAGGTGACAACACTAGACACATTTGCGTATATTGCCTCAAGCCTTGCCTTCCAACCCCCAGCGCATGATTCCCTCACAAAGTAGCACTTGCAATCAGTGAGATATCCTCATCTACACGAGGCACAGAAACATGGCAAATCCCCTCTACATGCACAGGAGCCAAAATGATTAATAAATTGATCGTGGGCCCTTAATATATAGAAGACCTCCCTGAACATAAAATTGCACTGAAGATCAATCAGATCCGTTTAAAGCCTTTTTTATACAAAAAAAAAAAGGGAGGGGGGGGGGGGGGGGGGAAAATTTCAAAATTAAAGGAAAAAATGTCAAAAAAAAAAAAAAAGGGGGGGGGGGGGGGGGGGGGGGAAATCTTCCACATTAAAGGAAAAATGGTCAGCAAAAAGTTGATTGGTGTGCCCCAGTCCATGAGTACTTTGCATTTTAGGAAATGGCAGAGGTTTCTCTAAGTACCATAACACAAATTTTGTGCATAATGTCCTGACATTATCATAGACAATACTGGCAACCTACTCCTGGTCTTGTAACTTCCTGTTTGAGTACAGTCAGCTCCTGTGTAATGTCAACAAGAAAAGCCAAGTCTATGAGCTATTTGGGATCACAATTTTTACAGGAACTATCACCCCATCCCTCTCCATGAAGGCTTTAAATGCTAAAACGTGTTCAAAAAGTAGGCAGGAGCAGACAATATTTATGCTAAGGAAGATGCATGGTATGAAATTGAATTTAGATTTTTTTGGTAGCAAAGGCTCTTTTGAAAGTGACCAAGCTGACAGGCATCGAATTTCCTTCACTCCTACACACTACCTGCAATTTTAATAGGGATTCTTTGATACTCAGTCAGATTGCTGCGATTTACACTACACATTTTGCAATTATGTTGGTGCATTACCTAATGACTTTTTTAACTTTTATCAAAAACTTTGGCCATGTTTGTCTCATAACATGCAATAAAATAAAAACGTTTAGTCCGACTCTTTAATGGTTTTTACCATTCTATTCAATGTCCAAATCTATCCAAACACAATACAAATCAGAATTAGACTAGAAGTTGAGATTTGAGTGAAACTGTCGCGGAGGATCACATTATAGAAATGAGAAAAACGTGTGGCCGAATTAACACTAAACTTTCTTGGCATGCATCGGGCCGCAAAATACCATCTTGCGGGCTGGAAATGGCCCACGGGCCGCGAGTTTGAGACCCCTGATTTACACAAATTGTGTCTAATTAATCTACAATTCAATGAGAAGGTTTTCACATTAATAATTGTGTTTTTTAATTCCTGTATGCACTTGTTGGTGTGCAACTATACTTGATCTGCAAGAGAAAGCTTCAGGACAAATGTCACATTTGTAGGGTTTGTATTTAGTGTGTACTCTTTGGTGTCTTATTAGACTTGATTTAAGAGAGAAATCTGTATCACAAATGTCACATGTGTAGGGTTTTTCCCCAGTATGAAGTCTCTGATGTCTGACTAGATCTGTTTTGAGAGAGAAACCTGAAGGGCAATCATCACTTTTGAAAGGTTTTTCCTTAGTTTGCATCCGTTTGACTAGACATAATTTGAGAGCTAAAGCCACAGGATTATTGTTACATTTGTAGATTGTTTCTCCAGTGTTATGTCTGTTGAGCTTTGATTTATGAGAGAAAAATGCAGGACTAAAGTCACATGACAAGTTTTTCTCTTCAGTTTCGGATGATGGGGGCAAAGACATCACATTTTTCTGTATCACAACATTTTTCTGTATCACAGCACTTTGCTGTATCTCACAATTTGTCTGTATCTCACAATTTGTCTGTTTCTCACCATTTACTGATTTAGTGAGGGCCTCCAGCAGGTGTGTTGGTAAGATATTCTCCTCCATATCTATATCCTCCTCTCTTTCCCTTTTGACAATAGAGCAGTCCCCATTGTAAATTTCCTTGTTTAGGACATAATCAATACCATTACTATTGTTTGTATCAGGAGGACATACCTCTTTGAAATCTCCATTTTTTTGTACTTTTACACTGTCATCATCCTTTTTTGTTAACATTTTCTCCTCTTCTAAGCATGAATCTTCCTCATTTTCACTTTTAACAAGAGGGTATTTTAGCTTGAAATTTTGAATTTTGTGTACATTTACAAATTCCTCATCCATATTAGAAATGCAGATTTTCTCTTTCTCCTTATGTTCATTGCTTAAATCTTCCATTATTTCATATTTAATACAGCCATGACTCTCTTTGAAATCTTCCACTTTTTCTGAAATTTGTAAAGTATTTGAAAAAAATAATTAATAAAAATAAAAAATTACAGTAATTTTTAAAAAAAAAATGTAAAAAAAATAAAATCCTTTATTGTATTTTGTAAATGTATAAATTTGTTTTGTGTAACACAACTGTGTTAACTAAATAAAATATATTGGCTCCTAAATATGTTATCTGAATTGTCTCATATTGATGTACACCAGTCTCCAGAGTAGTAAATATGTCAAGAAACTGACATCTTTTGTCTTAACCTAATTTTTTAAATGTAATTACACAAATTGTAATGTAAACTTTTAAATAACTTATTAATTAAGTATCTTCAACAAAATCTGTAAAAACAGTACTGTCCAGTAATCCCTAACATCTTATGACCACTGATTAAAAATACTGTCTACTCTTCAGAGCTAGTTTCTGTTAGGTCTATAGTTAGTATAACAGTAGTGTCTATCCTCTGTACATAAGATTCATAACTAAATTAATGTCATCATAACAGAGCTAAGACAACACGGTTGTCTTTACACAGATTTATGACTGAAATATTGTCCACAACTACAGCTGCAGTCTGATTACAAAGGATGCTAGCATTATTTGTTGCTTATGCTTTGAATTGGAAAATGTTTTAAAATAGCCCATATTAAGCTTGTGAAGCATTGTGGACATTTTTTCAAAGTTCATTCTACCTTCTTATTATACAAATAAATAATAACCCCATAAATTGCTTCATACTTTCTCAATGTCTTCAACTTATTTTTGAAACAAAACTGAAGCTATCAATGGCCTAAAGCAAATAACTAAACAACAGAATGTGGAAGAATGAGAAACGGTTTACTCATATTGCCTCTCTCTCTCTCTTCACAGACTCTAGTAAGTGTAAGCTTTTTATTATTTTAAATCAGAGGGTAAATTTTCTAAAAATCTATCTTTTTCCCATTGGGCCATTTGACAATCAAATTTTTAAATTTTATATTGTTAAAAATAATTAAAATGACCTTATTAAATTTATCTTGGACTTGAATTTTCATAGTACCGGGTATAGTCATATCATACGGGTTATTTAATATTGATAAGATTTGCCTTATTAGACCATGGATAATTTTTTAATGCTTCAATTTGTTTGCAAAAATGTGTAATTGCCTGATTGTTTGTTGTTCAGTTATCCTAAACAAAATCAGTTTTTGAATAATAAATAAATGCCCTAGGCCCATAAATTGAATAAGCAGATACTGTAAAAAAAAACAAATAAATGAAATCCGCTATTTCCTTGGTATTGAATTTACCAAGCTAAAACACAATTATTGAATTTTAGATGAACAATTTGGTAAACAATTTATATTTTGTGTTCATGTAAAATGTGCCTTTACAATATAAGGTTGCCGGGCAAAATACACAAATAATTTCAACCATTTAACCCACAAAACTTTTTCTGAGATGAGGCCTACCTGTCTTACGGTTATCCAAGGTGCACTGTGTAGTGACATTGTCAGTATTTACAGATGAATTTTTCTCATCCAAGCACCGAGTTGTGGTTGCCACTGGCAGTTGTAATGTTTGTCTCACCAGGGGTTGCTTTCTGTGTTTAGAAAATTTTCTCAGCTGCAGATATAAAAAAACGGGACTTATAAATTATTAAAATTAATTTATTAAATTTAAAATAACTTATTTTAGTCACAGCCAGTAAGCCGTACACTGAATCACCACATTTTTAAGGGTGCTATATAACTTGAATGGGACAACGCACAATATAAAGCAGTCTTCACTAAAAGTCTTAGCAAAACAGTGACAAGCCCTACTATAACTTTTTGGCTGCCACTTCCCTTTTTATCATATCAGGAATAAAGGACTTTTAAATCCTCATAAATGAAATAATAAATACATCAATTGTAACAAGAAATATAGAATTATGGATGGCTTTAACTTTAATCAATGAATAAAAATAATAATTTGTATGATAATTGCATCAGTATACACTTTATCTATTTTATTAACTGTCAAATTAATTCAGGCCTCATTTTAGATGTAGGGCCTTTATAGATTTAACCTGAATAATAATTTTTCTTTGCTAAACATTATAATTGTATTTGTATTAGTATTAGTACATGTAGCATAGTCATAGACTACTAACTTAGTTGTAGAGCAAATTACTAATTATATATATATTTATATATATAGGCATATAATACATAATATATAGATAATAAACAATAATCTCTGAGAAAAAAATGTTTAAATGAAATAAATCTAGCTATACTACCTGTGTATCAGTGAAATTAGTAGGTATAGGATCTGGAAACTTTTCTGTAAGACCTTAGTTACCAACAAAATGTTTACTGCATATAAACATGTGTTTAGATAGACTGTGGATAAAAAATCCTACTCTGCTTCAAGTGTCAACCCATCTTTTACATTTATCTAAATCTTTTGAGGATTAGGAAATGAATAAAATTTAACACCCTGCATGTGCGGACGATCCTTGTATCTAGAGTCACTGTTACATGTGCCGTACGTGCAGTGAACTACTAAATGATTTCACAAGGACAAGATGTATAAATATGTTTATGAATATAGCAGTAACAATTTGTAAAAAATAGTAGCCTTATACTTGAACTTTATAATCAAGTTTTAAAATAAAAAATATAATAAAGTTTTGGTTAGGCCTATTGGTGTCCAGTAAGGCTAACTTCGCAAACTCCTATTATTTGGCAGTAGAAACATAGAAATTCCAGGTACCGGTACTAGACATTTTTTTTATTAATTTATCGAGACAATCTATTTTATGTAAGTGGCATTGATATACATCTATCAGTTCCACAACAACATCAAGTAATTAAACAATATGTGTTATGTCATAGGTTTCTCACATTATTACTGAATAAATTATAAAGTGTAATATGAATGGGGCATGGATAGCGTACTAACTTAGTAACTATGGGGATAATGTGAAGAGATAGCACCCTGACATCATTTGAGTGTTTTGTCAAGGGGCCGTCCATAAAGTAGTCACACTCCAGAGGAGGGGAAGGGGTGTAAGAAAGTGTGACAGTTTGTGACAGGGGGAGGGGGGAGTCAGGCCATGTGTGACGTCACACATTTATTTTGTAAAATTTCAATTCTAATTTATTTTTTATTTTTTTAGTAGAATTTAATAGCTTTAAAAATAATTTTCAAAAATTTTGTGAAATATTCGAATTAGTTTTATGTCAAAATAGCATGAAATGCGTATCTCCTGAATGTGTTGTTCATGATTCCTCTCGCTAGGAGCGCCAGTATGCTGTTGTGAAGCCTTGTTTTATGTATAGCCTTGCTTTCGTCACGTCGGAAGTATTATTATTTCTATGTTGTCCGCTGCATAATTATGTCCTTTTTATTAATTAATCACTGGGTGAGGTCAAGGTTCGCTAATCTACTTCTAATCATGTGTAAAAAGATTGCATAATCGGCAGATTATCTAAAACTTGACCTCACCTATTGTAAATGAAAAAGCAGCAGATAAATGATGTGTATTATATAATTGTCTAGTCTAATTTTTGTTTTCAAATTCAATCTAGATTGAGTTACTGCTTCAATGAATAACTTTGACAATTGTTGATAATTAACTATTCTACTATTAAAGTCATTTTAATAATGTGATAGTTCTTTTAAGTGGTAATTTTATATTTTAATATAGTTTAATAGTGAAATGTGTTTTAGTATTAGATTAAATTTTAATTAGGTGTTAATTTTTTAAAAATTTGTTCGAAAGTGTGACATACTTTTTTTTTGGGGGGGGGTTTGTGACAGGGGGGGAGGTTAAAATGGTCAAAAATAGCGTGATGTACTTTATGGACGGCCCCTAAGTTGCTGTTCTGGATTCACTCTCCTTATTTTTTTGTTACCGTAATAGAGTTACATTTTCAGTTATATGACTATGGCACGTTTTAATTCAATTTTTATTGGTTGACTATTTTATGTTAAAATTTCATTGGTTGGGTAATTATAATATTTTTACTGTGTTTTATTCACTTGTGGATATTATTTTCTGTGGAACCTGAAATAAAGTGTATAATAGTGTATTCCATGAAACTGTAAGCTTGGTTTTCATTATTTCTCAATTTTATCATTATTTTGGGACATTTTAGTGTGGTTTTTTTCATTTTCCTCCTAGTTTTCAGGGTCAAAAGCAGTCAAAACCCATGTTAGTGAGAGAGTCAAAACCCTGGTTCTGATAGGGACAAAATCCTAGTTTCTATAGGGTAAAAACCCTAATTCGGATAGGGTCAAAACCCTCGTTCCAATAGGGTCGAAACCCAGGTTAGGGATAAGTTTAGGGTCAGGTTATGTTTAGATTCAAGGTTCAGTGGTTAGGTTTAGGGATACATTTTTTCATAATTCTTTTTCATTTTATATTCTTAATTATTAATTTTAGCAAAGGTGCGTTATTTTATTTTTCCACAGCCGCCATCTTGGTTTCCGCAGCCCATGAAACCGTCAAAGTTCACGGGTCGCAGCAACCAAGAAGGCGGCCATGGTAAAAAAACACAGTGCTATCTCTTCACTCTTCATATTTTCATTTTACCAATTATGGTTTAGTTTACCTGTACTATCTATGAAGTTTAAACAGTTGCCACTGGAATCTGAATAGTAAATAATCTCTGAGTCTCTATCATACCTAATAAAATTAACAATGAGTATTTATTTTTCAAATTGTTAATTTTAAGAAAATGAAATAAACTCGTCTAACTAAAGCTGCCTACCTGTGTATCACTGAAATGAGCAGGTATAGGATCTGGAAACTTTTCTGTGGGACCTTTTCCACCAACAAAATGTTTACTGCATACATACATGTGCCTAGATAGACTGTGGACAAAAAAACCTACTCTCCCACAGGCGTTAACCCATCTTTTACATTTTTCTAAATCTTTGTGAGTTTTAGGCTTAGGAAATGTATAAAATTTAACACCTTGCATGTGCGGACGATCCTTGTATCTTGAGTCACTGTTACATATGCCATACGAGCAATGAAATCCCATTTTACAAAATCCTTGAATATAGTATAGTAGTATAGCAATAGCAGTAAAAAAATAATTTTAAAAAATATAGTTGTAAACAAAGTTTTGAATTAGGTTAAGGGCCATTTCGCTAACATAGTAGTACTTATTAACAGTGTTGACATTTTATCCTCGCTGAATACCCGGATGATTACAACAGTGCTATTAATAGATTTCCGCCATTAAATGGCAAACCCTATTATAACAAGAAGAGCTTTTCCTTTTTATTTTTTAGTCTTTCTTTAGAAAATGTCAACATCCGGGGAACTGTTGTGTGCAGGGAAATAAACATTAACAATGCAAAGAATGGATGCCATGTTTTTCACCCGTGAGTGTTGATCATGTTAACAAAGATGGCGGCCAAAAAAAAAGTAGTGCACAAAACGTTTGATTAAAAAAGAAAAAGTGGGGGGGGGGGGGGGGGAGAAAAA